ATGATCACCTGTGTCAAACGCTTTACGAAAATCTCACAGAATTTGCTCATTTGGGTGAGTTTCTGGTGTATTTTGGGCGTTGCTGTTTTCTGCACCTGCCATTACCTGGCTTACTTATTTAATTACTTATTCACTTTCAAGGCAACATTTTTATCTTTATCTTTAATCTTTCTTTGAAAAGAATAAAATGCCTGAGAATTAAATGTTCTATGGGGTTCAATAAATAATTTTCATTTAATAAACAGTTGTTGTACATTATAGTTTTGGAGAATCATCCTTATGTTTGACTGAAGGGGTACTAGTGGTATTACAGAATGGTTTGGGGTAAACAAGTCTAAAAAGGTTGGGAACCACTGAGGTAGAAGGTGTAGCCTAGTATGAAGATGACCGTGGCTGAGACAAGTAGTCCAGCCTGGCCCTTGYCTTCCTATGCATTTCTGCTCAATTTTAGTTTCCCTTACCAGGCTAAGTCTGGTCAGTTAATTCCAAATGTTTCAACATTTTAATTTAACATTATATTCATTATTGACTTTAGTAGAAAAATTGTATGTGTGTGTGTGTGTGGGGAGTGGGGGGAGGGTGCTATAAACGCTGAGGCACAACCTAAGATTTTATCTTTAATGGTCTTTTTTTATAGTGTTCATTACTTTTGCTTTTATACTTTAAGTAGTTTTAAAACCAGTACTTTTATACTTTTACTTGAGTAAGAAGCTCAARTTGATACTTCTACTTCCAAAAAAGTATGTTTAAACCCTAGTATCTATACTTCTACTTAAGTAATGAATGTGAATATTTTTGACACCTCTGTTAACTGCCTCTGACACACCTAAAAGACAACCAATGTAGGAACGACAGGTGAAGGACGGAAACAGAATATGTACAAATAGAACTAGTCAGGTAAATTGGTTGGTTGTTGAGAGTTTTGTTAGAAGGAAGCCACTGTAGAAAAGCAAAAATAACAAAATTGTAAATTCATCGTTAAAAGTTGTAAATTCTTTTATTCATTTTGGTAGAAAGGTTTTCTGCTCAAAGGTTTGTTTTCATCTTAGTTTTATTTTTTTGTTTGTTTGTTTGTTTCTCAGGAAGGCTTTGCACCTCCAGATGAAGATGAACTTGAAGAACAAGCTCACCTGGACCAGGATGAATACTGAATCCCTATGTCTCCCCCAGCGTTCTCCTCCTCAATCATCTCCCTTCTCTTTTCTTTTTGCCCTCATTTGTTTTTCCGCTCTCTGCACGCATTCTAGAAAAAAAAAAACCCTCATTATTCCTTACTTTCTCATTTGCATATCTGATGTTAACCTGGCCTTTCACTCTCAAACTGTCCATACACAGCTACTCTGCATCGTCTTTACTTTTACACTAACAGAAATGTGACATGTCCCAGTCAGTTCAGCATGAGTAACAGAAAATCAAAAAACCTGGAATGAAGGTTGTTATAGCAATCAACATGTTTATGTCTGTAAATATTACAAACATTTTAATTTTTTAAAAAACAGTGTCTTTGCCTTTTTTTTGCATAATTTATTTGCTATTTTATGTGCTGGTAACAATAATCTTAGAGCACAGGACATCACAGCTCCAATGTGCCATCAGGACACTCCTTGAGCCACTAAACTGTAATACCTCTTTTTGGTTCATTTATATTTAATTTAGATTCTCTTTCTGCTGCAGAACTGTTGCGAGCCTACTGTATGTGAATTGAGAATGGAGAAAAGGTGTGTTAATGTTTGTGATTAAGTCTAAAAGTTTGCATTTTTGCTACAGTGGACTGAAAGCATTTAGAAACAATGGGCCTCATGCAAGAACCGTTCGTACGCACAGATTTGTTCTTAAGTTGTGCGTACGAGTGNGTGGTGAGAAACACACACACACACACACACACACACACACACACACACACACACACACACACACACCTTACTGCTGCAGAAACACACACGGTGCATGCACAATTACAACTGTGCAACATAATGACAGATGTTTGGAAGGAGCAGGTCTTACTGGACGGGTGCGTTCGGTTGTCTTGAATGTCAGCAGTGGTGCAACATCTGTTTGTGTGTCCTCGTGTCCTGCCAGAACAGGATGGTGGGATTACAAGACAGTGGTGACGAAGGCTGAGCTGACAGGAACTGTCTGTGGTGCTGCGGGTCCTCTCTGCGTTCTGACTCTGCAGCACAAAGGACGGAATTCATGAGGGAAAAAGCTGTTTTCAGATTTAATCCTGCAAGTTTATTATCTCCCATTACCAAAGACAAGGAACAATAACGATTCTGTTTGTGTCTTTTTTTTCTGTTTGTGTCTTTGAGTGTGTGTGCCAAGTATTCGTTACCTTTTTAGGACTTTTCTGGTATAATCAGGGTTCCTGCAGCTTAAGGCAAGTTAAATTTAAGACTTTTTAATGCCTTTTAATGCCACTTGAAAGAAAGTTTAAGACCAACTTCACAAT